ACGCTCCTTTTGATGCAGCCCAAGGTATGGTTGGCTTTCTGGGCTGCAAGCGCACACTGCCGGCTCATGTTCATTTTCTCATCGACCATGATACGACCATGATGGATTAGAAACCAGCATGTGCGAGACGCTGCAGACCCTGCTCAGAGCCAGGGGTCAGGAAAAAGGGGAGAAGAACCTGGCAGGTTGTACAGCTCCTGTGAAAACTGCAGGAGTTTTCCTAGCTCACTCCTATGCTGTATTTGCTTTCCTTGGGTTTCTTCAAGGGACAAAACTGTCTGCCTAAAGGGACCTAAATACTATTGTAAATGATTAAAGATGTAAAATAATCTGAGCCAGTTCTCACTGGCGTCAATCTTTTGGAGAGACGCAGCTCTATGCCTTATTCAGATCTCACCCACGACACTAAAAAAATGTATTTGGATCAAAATGCTTCCTTCTTTATGCTTATGATCACATTATTTTAAGAGGTTTCATGCCTTTAAAAGTTATATTAAACCTAAAAATGGAGACACTGTGATAAAACCCACCCCAGAGCACATCTGGAGGGGTTGAGTTTAATAAGTACCACTTACATTTTCCATCAACTGTTTGAACTTAGCTCCTGTTTCTTTGAACCTCTTGTTCTCACTGAAAGCCCTGCTGACATGCTTTAAAAGCATACAAATAGCTTCTGGTGCAACTATCTACACAATATATTCTGTTCTGTTTTCGTTGTAATACACATTTCAGTTCATGAATGCCTGAGCTAGTAGAGGTAATGCAGAGAGAAATCTCTGGTATTACTACTTGTTTTACCATCTGTTTCTTTATGATGCACAAGATCTGATTCTTTGGCACTTCACCAACAGCATCCAAGTTTGGAGGTAGGTACAACAAAAATTAAAGTATTTAGCATCCCTAAGGAGATGCTCAGAATTGGGATGTGGCCAGCCTCATCTATTAAGTTGTTTGAACTTAATATATGTTATTCTATTAAGGAAATTGATTTCATATTCATCGTCAATTTAGCATCAATAGCATATGACCACTTTCTATGGTCTTTTGCAGCTCCGCACTGTGATGGGAAACAAGCAAGTGCATGATCCCGAACATTTACAGTCCATGCAGGATAAACCAGTTGGATTTATAGTAAATTTTCGAATTTAAAGAGAACAACATGATTGATGTTGCAACCGAGGCAGTGGAGAAGCAGGACTGAGATGCGGTGGGATGCAAAATATGGAAGAACATACATTACTCATTGAATGGGTGTTAGGCAGAAGTCATTTCTATAGGCAGTGCTACCTCCTGGAAGAGAAGATCAGTGGATAAACAGCCCATCTGGAGATACTGCTGGACTATGGTCTGGAGCCTGCAGACATAGTGGAAATAGGAGAACACTTCAAAGGGAGCTGAACCTGAGATTAGGACACCATGGAGGGTGGGGCCTTAGCCGAGGGGGACAAACAGGGTGTGGGGTTGAAAAGGTGAGGAAGAGCAGCTCGTGGAGTCGAGGAGGGGGGACAAGAGCAGCTGCTGCTTCCATGCAAGAAGTGGGAATGCAATGGAGAGAAGCGAGGGCCAGAGCGAGGGAGCGGGAGCTGGCGGTGGAGGCAGGGCCGGGAGGAGCAGGCGGCGGTGTCGGAGGTGGCAAGGGAGGAGGAGCGGGAGTAGCGCTGCTCGGGCTGCAGCCCCTGCCGCGGCAGGTGCTCCCGGGGCGACCCCCTCTGCCCTCCCTGCCGTCCCCAGCGGCGTTCCACCCCCCTCCCGCTGGCGGGGTCCCGGGCAGCCCCTGCAGCGTGGCGGTGTCCGCGGTGCGGCGAGTCCTTCCCGGCAGCGGCACCACCGCCGGCACCTGCCCTGCCCGCGGGGCCCGGCCGCGCTTCTGCCCGCTCTGCAGGGGAAGCGCTGCCCAAATCCCGAGCCCCGCGGAGCTCCCCGCGCGGCCGGCCGCAGCTGGGGAGAACCGCGGATGGGGGGAAATAGACGGCCCGGGGCAGCAGCCCTGGTCCTGAGCAGGTCGGGTCCCCCGCCGCGGGCCGGCCGCTAGTGGAAAGTTTCCCCGGAGTGACCTCTCATAGTACGCGCTCGCTAGGCAATCTCATTCAAGTATTTTTGTCAATGGGGTGGGGGGTGGGGGGGGCACCCTTCTCCCCGGCCCCCGGCCCGGCTGACGTCACTGCAGAGGCGATAAATATCTGTTGATATAATTGGACGTGAGATTTGGGGTTGCGATAGCGAAACTCGGCCCATCGCCGCTCCGACGGGCCCCCATGATTTATTCAGCAGTGGATCGGGGCACGCAATCGGGCTGTCAGGAGAGCGTCAGCTTATTAGGCAAGTTCTGCGTGGTTCCAGGAGAGGGTCTAAGCTATAAAAATCCCGCGCCCCGGCTCTGATTAGGACCAAATCTGATCCCAAGTTCGCCAGGAGCCGGCTCCGAGGAAGAGTGAGAAGAAGGGACACCGGGCACCTCCGAGTCCCGCCACCTGCCCTGTCGCCGTCGCAGCCCCAGGTAGGTGTGGGGCTGCGCCTAGGCGCGGATCGCGGTGCACTGCGCTGCGTGGGGCTGAGCGCGGCGTCCCGCGGGAGGCGGGAGCTCCCCCGGCCGGGCAGGGAGCGGGGAGGCGAGGGGAGCCCGGCGCTCGCACCCCGCGGCTGCTGAGGAGAGCCGCCCCGCCGCAGGCACCCCGGCCCGGATGGGTGCAGAGGCGCCGGACCGGCTCTCCTCGCAGGGGCTCAGCACAGCCTGGTCCGCGGGAGCCGCCGCCGGGCAGCCCGGAGCTGTTCAGCGGGAAGGGAGGAAAGGGGCGGCCACCTCGACGGCGGGGGCTGAGCGGTCCCGGGCAGCGGTGTGCGGGGCGCGGAGGGGCGCGGAGGGGAGCGGAGGGGCGCGGAGGAATGAGTTTCAGCACCGGGACAGCGGCCGGCCCCGCGCTGCCCTCCCCGCCGCCGGTGCTCGGCTGTGTAACCCCGTCCCCGATCCCCCGTGTGTCCCGCAGGTTTGGGCCCCGACCATGAAGATCCCGCTGCTGGTGTCCACGGGAATCCTGCTGGTAGCCCTCCTGCCCTGCCAGGAGTGCAGAGCCCTCAGCAAGAACCCAGTAGCCACCCACGGGGCTGTGCACCAGCCAGATTTCTTCCAGCAGCAGCAGCAACAGCAGCAGCAGCAAACTCTGCCCGTCCTGCTCCGCATGGGAGAAGAGTATTTCCTGCGGCTGGGCAACCTCAACAAGAGACCCGCTGGCTCTTTCTCCGCCTCCTCCAGCAGCACCAGCCACCTACAGCCCGAAGCCGCCGCCAGCAACTTTTTCCGGGCGGCGGTGCAACAGCTGCAGCAGCTGCCCGAGCGCTCGCTGGGGGGCCCCGAGGAGGGCGAAGCAGAGGGCGAGGCCGTTGAGAGGGAGAAGCGATCCGAGGAGCCCCCTATTTCTCTGGATCTGACTTTCCACCTCCTGCGAGAAGTCTTGGAGATGGCCCGAGCCGAGCAGCTAGCGCAGCAGGCTCACAGCAACAGGAAACTGATGGAGATAATCGGGAAATGAAGCGGCCCCTCCCCGCCTTGCCAAAGAGATTCCGCAGTTAGCACAAGAATAATTACACCGTCCGACGTACCATAGTGCTGCTCTGATGTCATCTCTTTATTTTTATATAGCTTTAAACCTAGAAGGGTGTACTCCGAACAGCCTCTGTCCCTTGACTAGCATGCACAACCGTGTACCAAGTGCAGAAACACGAGTGTCGTTCGTAATCTCCCCTACCTTTATTTATTTCTCCATTTCCCAGTTATTCTAGTGCCATCGCTACGTAGGGATGTGTGAGCATTGGAAGAAGTGGTGCCAAGAAGACAGATAACTTTTCTGCTGGGGGCAGGGAGGTGGGAGGGGGAATCTCTGTCAGCTACTTTAAATCCACTTTTTTTTCCTGTAAACATTTTCACAATAAAACATCTTTTCAGCGCTCGGTCGATTTGGTTGTGTAAGAGAATGTTTAATATTTATATTTTTAATAAAAGCTGCAAAGTAAAGATGGCTTGATAGACTTTCTTGCCTGGACGCCCGAGGGCTGCTCCGCCTCCCTCAGCGCTTACCTGGGGGGGGGGGGGGGGGCATCCCACGGCCGCGGTCACCCGGAGCCGCGGGGAGCCCTAAATCCCCCCTCGGGGACGCTTTTCCTCTCCCCGCCCCGGGAGCCCCGGTCCCCGCGGGCTGTCCAGCGGCGAGCCCCGACGTACCGCCGGCCCCGGGCCCCGCAGTCCTCGGCACAGGCTGCGGCCGGGGTCGGGCAGTCTCCTCCTGGCAGAGTGCAGCGGTGAGAAAACCTGATCTCCGGCCTCCCTGTTGTGTTCTCGGTCTGGCTCTGCTCGTCCTCCCCGCACCCCAAAAAGGCAGGTTCTTCCCCACTTCAACTCCTCCCGTCCTGGCTGCGGTACTCAAGCTGGGTCCCTCCCAGGGGCGCTGGGGAGGTGGCAGTGCTTATGAAGACACTTCCCAGGAGGAACTGGGGAAAGACTTCCATATTTTCCAGAAAATCCCTCACACCAAAACAAATCCCAGGAAAAGCTGCTCCAGCAGCCAGAGCAATGAGGTGGTGATGGCTGTAGAAGTCCCAAAGCTTTGCAGGGGACTCGCCTGTGCAGCTCTCCAAAACTCCCACAAGAGCATTTTCCAGGCAACACAGATACCAATGAAGGCTGAGGTGGCTCAGCCTGCCAGTGAGGAGTGGCCAGGCTTGGGGTTGATGCCTCACAGCCTGCTAACCTGCCTGGGGTCTGCACCACCAGCTCACCAGTCCTGCTGGAGCTCAGCACAGGCCTATGGCCCCACACAGTCCCCTGCCCAAATGGTATGTCCAAGGCCAGGCTCCAGACTCCCAGAAAGATCTATGCTTAACCCTAGTGCAGAGCTTGACACCTGGTCCCCTATGGCACCAAGGACTCCCAGCAACTTGCCAGTCTCTGTTAATTACTACTGAGTGCTGACACTCTGTCCTTCAGTACAACTTGCAGAGCTTTTAAGACATGAATTTGATTTCATTAGGCAGCTCAGCACCTTCCATGCACACAGAACAGGACATTTCGCATTTACCTTGTTTTACATCTCACCATGGGGCCTTCGAATTAAACCTGTGACGACCTCATCCTGTTCTGGTTTTGTGCAAGAACATGTCTGTTTTCTGACACACACGGATGACTGAGAAAATGCAGACACATTATGGCTGGACAGATGTGGGCAGCACTCTAGCATCTGCCCTACGTGCTCAGAGCTGTGTTCTGCAATCATGTGCAGGGGCTTGGCCAGTGCTTTCAGCATGTGCATCTCCCTCATCCCTGCCGCTGGGCACCTTCCCTACAAATAACCTCTATGGGAGGGTCATCTGTGGTGGCTCAGTGGGAAGAGCAAGCAGGAAGGGAGGAATGGCAGCTTCTCTGTGTTCAGCCTCCACGGCCAGGGAGGCACCAGTGCTGTGGGAATACAAGCGGCTGCAGGGATGAGCTCAGACACAACCCTGGCTTGGGGCTGCTGAGGGTGTGATAGTGTCACTGAAGTCACCACAGCACCGAAGAGTGGGGATGCAGGAGGGTACTGAGGAGAAACACTGTTTTGGTAAAGGATGCTACTAGTGAATCTCATACCAGCATTTTAGCTAACAGTGGTGAAGCATTTACACCTACACAGGGATGTGCCAAAAAGTGAGTAACAAAACACTAGCAGTGCTCAGCCTACAGCTGAAGTGATGCTGTTTTCCCCTTTGAAACAAGAAATTATTGAAAAACACTCTGAGTACAATACAGCATAGTAATTTGTCTCCATGTCCCAATCTCTCTCAGGACTGTCATCTCAAGGGCTGGGTACAATGTGGAGGCCAACTGAGTTCCTGGGAACAAAACCCTCTTGGATGTCCCTTTCCAGGGCAGTTTCTTTGCTGACTGCAGCCAGGCTGCGGGCGCTCATGGTCCTTCTGAGGAGAAGCACACCAGAAGCCAACTGGAGTGAGTCATCATTCAGTCAGTGAGTTCAGCCAGGAGAAGGAGAAGATATGACGAGCCGGCTCGTCATCCCTCTCGTTGCTCACGGGAGTTTCCTCCACTTGTCCTTGAGGGGACAGTTCAGAACCAGTCTGTAAAGGAAGGAAAGGTTGACAAATGGAAAAGGAAAAGATGAATTGCATTAAAATCCTTAAGATTTCACAACATGCAGAAAACCAGAATGAAGTGAGAAAGAGGAGGAAAGACGGGAAGCATGAAAATTTGGGGAGGCCAGCAAGACTTCTAATGCCAGAGAAGTCAGAAGGACTTTTGCCACAGACAATGGAAGAGGGAGGATTACAGCGGGTGAGCTGTGTCACAGCTGTGCAAAGGGCTTAATTCTGATTTGGACTTCTGGAATATTATTGCACTGATGGTGATAACTGCCTGCTTAGAAGTGATCCAGAGACAGCTTGGCTTTGTAGCTGGGCCTCCAGATTGATATGGACCAAAGCCAAAAGTTATTGTCAGTGCATTGCCACTCAAAGTGATCCTTGTTCTGCTGTCATGAAATCTGCCTTGGATGTGGTGCTTTTTATCTTTTCTTTTTTTTTAAAGTCTTTTAACATTTATTTCACTTCAATTTCACTCAGCCCCAAAATAGGGAATAAATAATACAGAAATAAAAGATTCTGCTTATATCCCAGGGCAAATTCCAGTTTTATTTGCACAGGTATCCTATGCTCACAGTTAAAAAAGGAATCTGGACACAATATGCTGTAACTGCTAATCTCAGCAATTATTACCATTTTGAAAATTAGCCGAATATTTAACAGACCAATATAATATACAGAAATATTTTACTAGTCCCAGTGTTTTCAGATCCCTTTGGCAGGGAATGGAGACTGATTTGTGATAGCACCTGAAATCCTATTTTTATCTATTAAATCCTATTTTATCTATTAAAGATAAAACGTGTAAAAATGGGTGACTTGGTAGCTAAGGGATACCTTGTATCTTCATTATTAAAACCACTATTTAACTTGCAATATACAGGATTTTTCCCCTTTATATTCCTAGATATGCACATAAATTATTGTACATTGTTAATGCTAAAATTGCCATACTGCTAACCTTCTTTGTGCAGGATTTCACCTTCATGTGGGAACTTTATCATGATCTTAGGAGAATTATTTGATGTCAAGATACTACTCAATAGAGGGCAAATGAGAGTGGTGTCCTCTGAATTTTAACATATCTCAATCTATATAATATTGTCCTAAATGGAAGTTACCAAAGCAGAGATGCTAACAGAGATATCCAGGAACAAACAATGAAGCAAGGATGCTTGTGAGGAGCTGAAGCATGGGGTGGATGACTTTCTTAAGCATTTCTGTAAGTGCTTAATGTTACAGTGTACCACAGGAATTAGTAAGAACTAATGGCAAGTTAAGTATAAATTTGCTACTGGGCTTCATTCCAGTTACTACCTATTCAAGTGTTACAACGCTAACAAAAAAGACTGCATGGAGGTCTGAAAAACTTAGGTCCCTATTTCTTTATACACAATTAGAGTTCACAGCTCCTTTTTTAGATGCAGATCTTCAGTTGCTTTAGACTGGAATAACCCTACGTGTTCCAATAAAATGCTACCTGAGAAAATGGATGAAATATGGACTAAACTTTTACTTTGATTCATATTTTCAAAGCAAGGCACTCACTGCAGAAAGGATTTTTATGGACAAGGATCTGGGAGAAGAATATAGCTTTTGCTTGCTAACTTTATAATGCATTTTAATAAGTGCACAAGCATGATGAAAAACCTGGGAGAAATAGCTGCCTATTTGAATACTAAAGTCCATTTTCAGCAATGCTAGTGAGAAGGGTTGTCTCCGAAGCTTACATAAAAGTTTTGGGCCCATGGGGATAGATCTTCAGCTGAAAAGGCAGGTAGTTAATTGAGTCTTGATTATAGAAGATCTGCCTCTCAGCACTGGAAAGTACTGAATGCAAACCTTTCAACCTGATTACAAACCTTTCAACCTGATTACAAAATTCAGGTATCAGCATTAAATACATGGCTAGACTTTCTGAGTTGTAAGAAATCCTGTGCTCTCTCGATCTTTGTGGGTACAGGAGTGTAGGTGCTCTATTAGACCTATGTTGAAAATTTTACCTTTTCTTTTCTTTTTTTTTTTGTTTTGAAGGACATCTGCAGTGCCTGAACTAGCTAAGAGTTGGTTTGAAACTGGTTGTGCAGTTTTGTGCAGCGAGCCTTCACTCGTGTGTGTAAGGAGGCATGGGACAGCCCACCTCACTTCTCACTCTTCAAAGGAATAGGACTGGCTAGAGATTTAATAAAGAATTGCTTGTATTTCTTTTTACTTAAAACCACAGTGGTACCTCACAGTTTCTCTGCCTGGGCAAGATGGGATTCCTTTAGCACTTCCACTTGCTGTTCTAACCAGCTACTATTCAGAAGTACACATTAAACTAAGGTTAACTCTGAAGCAAAGAACTATGTATGGACTTAAGTAAGTAGCTTGTTTCATAGAATTTGGACCTAACATGTAAGAAGACAAAAATCACAATGTAATTACTTAGACTGGCTAGATGACTGCATTACCTTCTTAACCAACTCTGCTGGTAATGCATTTCAAACAAAACAATCTTGGTCTGCATCACTGCCAAATCTGCATTTCATAGGGTGTTAACTCCTTCATATTCTGCTGTGATGACATCTTCCTGTGTCAGCAAAACAATGTCAGAGCTCCAAAATATTCCCACTGGGTTTGGCTGGATGAAGCATTTACCCCCTGCACCTCGCTGGACTCAGCAGGCTGCCAGACTGCAATACTTCAACGTGTCTTTCCAAGACCAACCATTTGCCATCATGCCCAGACACCTTTTAAACTTGCATTTTCACACCTGTGACACTTTAGTATTTGTGCTCTGAGTCATACAGTCACTAAGGTACCCTATCCTCATGTGAGGCAAGAGACCATCAAAAGGTGCCAGGAGCAACTCTGTCCACATTATTAAGTCAGTTCCTCCCTTCCAGCTGCAGCCCACACAACTCAGAGTTATACATTGTGCTGAGATTGCGCGACACAAAGCTGCAGACTTCTACAGAAAACTTCTTTGAACTAGGAGGGGATTCTGAAAGGCAGAAAGCAGGAGTAGGGCTCAATGTCAATTGGGCAATTGTCAATTGAGGAGCAGTGTCAATGGGATTAGGGTATCCAGCCCCTCTTCAGATCCTTGCAATCTCATCTCAGATCACCTCGCTTTCCCTATTACAGCAGCCCTGCTCTGCTGCCAGAGAAAAGCTTTCTGCTGAGCACGGCACAGCCCTTGCCACATGCCTTTCAGATTCAACACTTCATTGTGTCTGTCCATTGCTATTAGGTAACTGTTGTCAAGCTTCTACTCGAGCTTTATCTTAGTCTTGGAGATCTCATGGGTAGGGCTGTTCTTCACATTACCTAGAATAACAAGTCCCAACCCTTGACTTGTGTCGCTAACAGTAATAAGGAATAACTAAAGTGTTTACCTCAGATTACATTAATCACATTAGGCCAATGCTGAGAGAGTGATGAATACTTACACTTTGATTTATATTTTCCCTTGTGGTGCAGAGTGACATCAGATTATGCTCTCAATAAGCACCAGGAATTTTCACCAGGCTAGCTCATGAAGCAGGGAGGAAAGCACACCCTGCATGACTGATGGTTGAGTTTGCTTTTCCCATAAGCAAAGTCCAGGCTGAAGTTCACGAGCCAAATTTTTGGAAGTGCTGAGCAACCACAACTCCCACTGAGCAGCCATTCATCACTCCTCAGCATCTGGCACACTAAAATTTGCATGTATAAGGATCTCAGAGTTTAACCTGATGAGATGTATCAAAGTTGCAGGTATTCAGCATCTTTCAGAATTTGCTTCCTTAAGCAGAGCACTACTTAAATCTGTACACAGTTCTTATAAAGGGTGTGGAGGGGGGGAAAGGAGTGAGTAGGATGGCTTTGCCATAATGTTTTCATTTATTAGGGTCTAGCAGTTATCCCGTTTATGCTGGGGAAAAACAGGAAGCCTAAGCCTTCCAGAGACTTGAAACAAAATGAAATCTACACAGTATTTTCTGCTTTACCTCCATTAACCTCTACTGCCTTTAGGGACAAAGACTGGGATCCATATTACCAAACTTGAGTCATCCAGAAATGAGATATACACTCAAGCAAGCTGTATTCATGCCCTATAATGGGAGTGATGAGAGGAAGGCACAACCAGAGGGTGATTTGTCCTGTACTTAGAAGTGTCTATAGGGTGGGTTTCCCTCTGGAGGTGCCCTTTTCTTTCTGCTGACTCTAGAGACACTCTTGGTGACAGGGTTAGATTAGATCTGGCTTTTAAGTAAGATTTCACAAGAAAGATTTCAGTCAAATACTTCAGGGTATCATAAAACTACTTGTTAGAAATTGAGAACTTTGACTGCATTATCACTTTTACAAGACCAGTAACTCTTAAATTTAGGAGATGGAGAGAAAAGGTGAAGGGTCTTTCTAGTCTTCTTTAATTTGTTTTTTGCTCTGGAAATTTTTGATTAGTTTTTGATGGCTTCTGATAAGGTGGGATCTGGAGAAGCCATTGTTATAATGTCCCTCTCAGAGACTGTATCGCACCAGCTTGCAGGGAGATGTGAGAAGTAAGAGAAATGGGGGCTGAAATGGTTGTTTCCTCCAGGGCTGTAGATCACCCAGCAGTATATTTTATCTGGATTGATCATAATTAAATGATAATTTTTGTAATTTATCAGAAAACGAAAATGTTTGCTGGTTTTATGCTGTCCACAGGAGCACAGATTGTGCCTTTGCTGGCAAAGGAAAATTATCTCACGGTTTTTAAACAAATATGATTTTAACCCAGTGAATTTGTACTACTTGAACACTTTGTGTCACCTGACCTATTGCTGAATTCTTCAAGCCATCTTGTAGAGTCATGGTCTCAGTTTTGACCAAATTGATGAGAAAGGTCTAGATTTACAGTGAAAAAACTGAGAAAAGTTTATTAGGAGTCAGTATGCCCCAGGTTATGGGGTTATTCTTATAACTATGGAGATGGACAGTTATTTATTGGCTACAAACTATATGCATGT